CGCTAGTGGGTGTGTAGCATCCCTGATCCCCGTTAGTGGGTGTAGCGCTAGCACTCCTGATCCCCGCTAGTGGGTGTGTAGCATCCCTGATCCCCCCTAGTGGGTGTAATGCTAGCACATGTCGACATGTTTACTGATATGACCGGTTTAATTCTGACGCCTGCCACTAGGCGAATACATTGGCAAATTCTGACGCCTGCCACTGGGCGAATACATTGGCAAATTCCTGTCGCCTGCCAGTGGGTTGTTATAATACTGGCCATAACTTATAGATGAGACTACTGAACTGAGTTTTCTTCTGCATTAACGGTTTGTTATGAGATGTTTTGTTATTGAACTGAATCTGATTCTGCAGTAACGGTTTTGTCATTGAACATTTTGCTATTGAACTGAACTTGATTTCCGCATTAACGGTTTATCAGTGAAAGTTTTGCTATGTTTACATGGTTTATCTGGCATGTTAAAAGTTTTACCCAAGGGCTATCCATATTTACTTACTGAGTTTATCTCATAGTTTCCTTGTCCACCATTTCAGGAAGTGAAAGCGAGGACGGGGAAATCAAGGGGAGTGACAAGTTCGAGATTGAGCATAGATTTAGAAATAAATCATGATCTTGTATTTGGAGATTTTATTGGAGATTTATGTTATCAGAGAGATTTTATAATTTGATCTTCAGATTTTGATGATATTAGTTTGTGATTTGAATAAGTTCTGAGCCTTGTGCACTTGTGGGACCCTTCTCACGAGTGCACGGCGTCTGCCATGTCCCCGGATTTGGGTTCTGGGGCGTGACATAGAGCTTGGTATAGTCATGTTGATGCTTACATCTTGAAGGAAGGTTTTCAGAAGTGCTCTTATGAGCATACACTTTACATGAAATTTGGAGATGGAGGTAAATTGATTGATGATTTAATTTATATTGGGAATGATCTTGGCATGTTGGAAAAGTTTAAATAGTACATGAAGCTTGAATTTGATATGACAAATTTGGCGAGTTAGTTGCATTATTTTCTTGGTCTGGAAGTAGTACAGTTAGATTTTGAAATTTTTGTTTGTCAGAAAAAATATGTGCAGGAAGTTCTATACATATTTCAAATGAATAACTACAATTCTGTCATTACACCAGTTGACAAAGGAATGAAGCTTATGAAAGATCTAGGTGGAAAATCTATGGGTAGCAAATTGTAGAAGTAGTTTTTTGGAAGTTTAATGTATATAACAGTAACAAGACCAGACATAATGCATGGTGTAAGTTTGATTAGTAGATATATGGAGCATCCAAAGGAGTTGCACTTGCAAACTATTAAAAGAATTCTCAGGTATTTATGTGGAACTACAGATTTTGGATTATTTTACAAAGGGTGACTAGACAGATCTTGCAGACTTTACAAACAATGATTATACTGGAGATCTGGATGATAGAAAAAGCACTTCTAGGTGTGTTTTTATTTTGGAATTTGGAGCAGTTTCATGGTTTTCAAAGAAGCAACCCATTGTAACTTTGTCCGCAACAAAAGCAGAGTATGTGGCAGGAACTTCATGTGCTTGTTAAGCTATTTGGTTGAAAAGAGTTCTAGAAGAACTTGAGATGTATCAACATGAGACCACTTCAATTTATTGTAATAACAATTCAACCATAGTTTTAAAAATCGAATCGAACCAATTGGTCGGACCAGTTAAACTGATACCCAATATTATAAATGGTTCAGGTGCTCTTTTAAAATGCTTGAACGATTAAACCATTTGAAACTGATAAACCATTCAACCAAACGGTTCAACGCTAGGCATAAAATCTTGACAAACTTGCTTCCAGTAGGGCTTGAACCTACAACCTTCAAGCCCTTATTTGATTCTTTGCCACCAGAACAATGCATTGCTTGTGTCCATGGGTGCTTGGAATTTTATTTATCTAATAGAACACAAAGCTTTTAACCAAATTATTGATGACAGCCATGGATTGGAACACCCATTCTCCATGTTATGAAACGAAGGCTCTTCCACTTGAGATGCAACCTTCTATTAGCAATATTTTGGTTTACAATATATTTATTCAATTTTTAAAACCAAAATTATATTAAAGTTTGTTCGTAAGGGGACTCGAACTTGTGATCTTTCGCACCAAAATTATAAAATTTAACAAATTGATGAATGAATTGATATTGTTTTGATTAGGTCATTTGACCAAAAATAATTTGGTTAAAATACTGAAAATATCCCTCCCCATCAATTCGGTCATGTAACTACATTGAAATACGTGACGAGTGAGTTGGTTTTGATTTACTAATTCAGTCAGTGTTACTAATCGAAATATATTCGTAAAATAATATTTGTTTTTTTCAGTCAAGTAATTTGTCTGAATACAAAAGTTGTTTAATGATTTATTTAACTATTGTTTAGGTCAAGAATATTAACCCAATTAAGTTTTATTTTGATCAAGATGAAAATTTCTCTAAAATTTTATTTCGTACAATGGATCTTCAGTCGAACAATTTGATCATATGGTTTGACCAAAGTACTCATGTTTCGATCAAAATATGACTTTTTAATCAATATACTTGACCGAAGTACTCCATTTTTTTAGTAGTGATTATTTAGTGGGTTTCTAAACTTAAACTTATTTTCTACCAAAAAGACGTCAACCTCTCGACTTTGAATTTATGAGGCCAAATTCTTTAAAAAGGGCGGCACAGGTAGCACGCGTCTGTTGCTTGGAAGTGAAAAATAAGTTGAAGGCACTAATGTTCTACCAATATAATCAATTGAAATAAAACCACTTTACTTCTTTGACTTAGCAATGGTTTGGCATCCAAAGAATTCGATTCACGTGTAAAGTAAGTTGTAATTTCGTTGAAAAGTAAAAGCATTTGACATAAATTAAACATGAACCAATGAAAGAACAATTGTAAATATTATATATTTTTTAACATCTAGAATTTCATTAATAGCGCTTTTGGCTAAGGTAGTGATTTGAAAAAGAAGATCAGCTACTACGAAATACCAATTTATTAGTGGAGCCAAGAATCCCAATTCCCAACACCAGTATTTTGGATGTATTTTAGAAAAGGTCAAATTTTCGGTTAATGGATGAGGATGGCAAGAATACATTTTCGTGAAACCTAGGCGCCTTGCGTTGACTAGGAGGGGTGTGTTTTACTGTCAAATCAAGAAGGAATACATTTTCATGAAACCTAGGCGCCTTGCGTTGACTAGGGGGGTGTGTGTTTTACTGTCAATAGGGTTTTTTTTTTTTTTTTTT